TGACCCTGCCAGGTTTCCAAAGTTTGTTTTTTATACAATAAGAGGATGAAGTAAAATGTGACTTGGCCTTATCTTGCGAGCGTACATTAAATACAAATCCGTTAAGGTCCATTTTAGCCTCTGAATTATTTAAATCACGATGGCTTGACATAAAAAAATCTATCCCGTCCATTTGAAGGGTTTTGAAGGTAGCTCCGATTTTCTTTCATCTTTTATATTCAGCGGTGAAACAAATGCATACGACGTCGAATTTGGTACCAGAGATGCTCCTTCAGGAATATTACAGTAAAAATGGTTCATCAGAACAAATTGTGAAAATTTTCACATATATTCAGTGGGTATACTTGAAGACTGGCTCTAAATCTGATATACCAAAAGAATATTTTGTTTAGGGCAGTTTCGACCTATCTACAGAGTAGGTTAATGGACTGACACCTATCAGAAAACAACTATTTGCCTGGCTAATACCACAAAGGGCGTTGAATTATATCCAACAGGTGTTAGTGCAGAAATCTTCACAGAAGAATTTCTTGCATATGCTGTTGGCGATATTACAGTTGGAATCGATTTTCAATTATAGTGTGCCCATTCCTAATATTGTTCGACTGAGCAGAACTGAGCAGAAGTTATTGATATTCGCCAGCTCTTTTATTATAATATTATCAGCCATTACCATAAGAACAGAAATTTCACTCTACCGACTCATTTGTACAACACCGCAGAAAAAATGATCATGTTATTCCTGGCTCCGAAACCGTAAAATACTATTCCTGAGGAGATTCGTAATTTCCGAATAATTCACTTCAAAAAAAAAGCAAGACTATTCATTTTTTCTCAACCTAGAGTACTATCATTTCAATTAGGAAACCACACACTACATCGTTTTATTTATATATATTTATATATTTTATTGTGTTCCAATTATTGTGCCATTTTCTTTCAATAGTATATAGGTATGTATTATTTTTTCCATTATTTAAAAGTTTTACTTTCATTTACATCGTATTTGACGTTGTGTAACTGAAATTACCACTAACGATAGTTATATCTTGAACTCTTATATATTCATGTATATATCTTATAAGTAATAAGGCCATCAGGCCTGTTAGGGTGAAATAAATAATCATCCTTTTTACTATCATTAATGTTATAGGTTTATTTTTATATCTATATATTATATCTGTGTTTTAATAAATTCTTGAAATTGTATTATCTGTCATACGAAGCAAGTGCACTTATCGTCATTTTTCCTTATTCAACTATTACTATTATTATTATGTTCTGTGAAACCTTTCAAATGAATGAATAAAGTTATTATCAACCTACAGTGTAGACAGGTAGGTCGAGACTGGCCTAAAAAAATTGTTCTTTTAGTTAATTTAAATTGTAAAAACTTCATAATTGGTCATAAATTGAATATTTTGAGTCTCGGTAAAAGTTTTCTTTTCTTTGCTGCTACATCGATATTCTTCATTCATCATGATATGATGAAAGTGGACATTTTTTTTCATTTTTGTCATGAATGTATGTTGTTCAGGTAATGAGGCGAATTTTCATTTTTCTCAAAAAAATATTTATTTATTCATCCATTTTCAATTTGCTCGCCTCAAAGTAGGCCCCCTCAGATATAATACAATTGTGCCAGCGTTTATTACAATCCTTGAAACAGTTCTGATATGTACTTTTTGTTATGTCCTTGAGCTCTCTGTTTTTATGTCCTCAATCGTCGCAAAACGCCGTCTTTTCATGAAACTCTTCAATATTTGGAACAAGAAAAAGTCGCAGGATGTCAAATCTGGTGAACACGGAGGCTGATGCATGGTAACAGTGTTGTTTTTGGTCAAAAAATTATGAACATGCGATGACGAGTGAGCAGGTGCATTATTGTGATGCAAAAGCCATGAATTGTTTCTCCACAATACCGGACGTTTCCTAAGTATTGCGTTTCACAAGCGCTGTATAACTTCAAGATAATATTCCTGAATGATCGTACGACCATGTGGCAACAACCCATGATGCAACACGTTACGGTAATCGAAGAAAACAGTGAGCAGAATGTTGACATTTCATCGAATTTGGTGTACATTTTTGGTCTTGAATCTCCTGGGTTCCTATATTGAAACGATTGGACTTTGATCCAATCGAATATTCGTCACCCTTTTGAGCAAATCTGGATCGCCGTTAATGTCATTCAATTGTGCGATGCTCATGCGACGGTTTTTTGGTCATAATTCAGCAATTTTGGAACGAACATCGCTGCCACAAGCTTCATACCCAAAATTTACGAAAAAATTACATGACATAAGCCAATCGATATGCCGACATTCCCAACAACTTCTTCAATAGTGATTTCACTTTCTCAACATTTTCATCGTTTGATGATGTGCTGGGGCATCCAGGGCGACGTCATTCACATCTGCTCGACCCTCTGTGTAAAGCTTGTACAACTTGTAGACATTTTTATGACTCAGAGTACAATCACCGTTTGCCACTGTGAATATTTCAAGTGTTTTTGAGCACTTATCCTATCCATCAATTCCAATTCATCAATTTTTTCAATAGCAGAAAATTGACCAACGTGCAGGACACCTCTAATTTTCATGCCTCTCACCAACAAATTGAACATGCTAAACATAATAAACATAAAAAAATAAAATAATCGCTTATCCAATGTACATAGCCCACGAAATTTAAACATCCATCGTATTTTGTGAACAGTCCATTATATTAATCATTGTTGAGGTTATCTTGTGATAACGTCAACAACTTCTTCAATTTCATTTAATAAAAACGTTCGAGGAGTAGAATTAAAATTGGGTTCAAAATACAAAAGAAATGATGAATTTGTTGAAGCAAAAGATGATATCTCAAGAAAAATATAGCCCATAGATTCAGTTTTCAAACATGGTGGAAATTATAAAAATAAACACAGCAAATGACTAATTTTTGAAGTATTCGAAACTGTTAACGATGTTAACGATGTCAGGAAGCATAGTATTTTTCATTCAAATTATTTGATACTCATCAAATCTTTTGGTTGCCCAAAGAAAGCCAAAACTACCCTGACATCCTATTTGAAACCCACAAAATTTGAGTCTGTTGAAAATTTCAATTCACCAAAAGAAGAAACCGCAAACGACATAAGATCTATATGTGGTTTGCGGAAAGAATGTATTCTGATGAATTTCATTATTTCGGACTTCCATTGCCTGATAGTAAATAAAATGATTTGAAATCCCTGAAAGAACTATTGAAAAGAATAATTTTTAAAAAGTATCTGAAGATAACAATTATATCAAACAAAAAAACCTTGAATGAAATTACCGGGCTTTCGTGCTCTGTAATACGAAGGAAGGACTCGAGACGGAACTAGATATCATCAGAAATGATCTTCAACGGAATGGCTACTCCAAAGCGATGGTTGAACAGACTTTGCTTAGAAGACAGCAGGAGCCTCGCAAGGAAGAGAAGTCGTTACAACTAGTGCTTGCACTTCCCTACATCAGAGGATTGTCGAAAAGGATAAAAAGAATTGGATCCAAGTATAACATCAGAACCTGCTTAAGATCTGGAAAGACTATCCGTAGCAGTCTCACGAATACTAGGCCACCAAACGCGGACTACGATTCCAAGAATTGCATTTACCGGATACCCCGTGAGTGCGGAAAATCCTATATCGGAGAAACTAAAAGGCCATTGAAAGTTCGCATTGTCGAGCTCAAGAAATACACACAGTGAGAGAAAACCAGCAGATCAGCAATAGCAGAGCATGTTTGAACCCATCAATATAACATCGAGTGGTCCCAAGCTGAGATCATACAAAGGGAAGAACTTTGGTTTAGAAGGAAATTCAAAGATGCCGCACACATGTTGCCCAACAGTGTATTCAGCCAAGCTAGCGTAGAGATACGCAACATATGGAAACCCATAATCAAGCGAAAAAAATGGTCGCCAAACGGTCATCCCCCGCTGAACCGGTGAAAAGGAAAAAGAAAAACGGAGATGAGTAAAAGTACCCGAATGACCCATAAATAGTCATCTCTCGGAGGAATTAGTCCAGTCATCACTTGAAGACGATTGTATAATAACAATCGAAACGTCGTGAAGTAACTTAGCTAGAAATGTCTTAATTTTTTATTTTTATTTTTTGTTCAATTGTTCTATTTTCACTTGTATTTTATTTCACTGTTATTTCATGTCAGGGTTTTTTTGCTTGATATAATTGTTATTCTCTGCTATTCTTTTTTAATCATTCTTTTTATAACTTCTTTCAGGGATTTCAAATCATTTTATATAATATCAGGCAATGGAAGTCTGAACTAATGAAATCTATCATGAAACATTGTCAATCACCTTCAAACAAATGTACTCTGAATTGATTTTTTTATAAAACCACATATTTACAAATGCTATGAAAATTAACAGAAGAGTAATCAAAGAAAAAAAATGAAATTATAACCATTCACGAATGAAGAGATAAAACAACTACAGAGATCAAGAAAGAAGGTTCATCAATAGAGAACACATTACGAAGACGAAAAGCTGCAAATCATCATCCAAGAAAATATAGTTACACTGACTCTAACTGCAAACAATATGGAGAAATGACTGCAAATCCCATTCCAAGAAATTTATAAAATACATGGAAGATGATGAAATAGCTGAATCTAGTAATGTATGGAATGTTACCACAGTTCAAAATAATTGTGAATTGGGTAATGATCATTTCTGATTGTGATTTCAAGCAGGTAATCAATATGTGAACATTGTTGAATCAGACTCAAAATGAAAGTTGATGATGTTATAGTCACGTTAAATTACATACCTTTTCTTTTCGTGGAAAAGGTTATTTAGATGAGTCAATATTCATTTTTGATTGCAATAAACATAAATAAAAACTCTGCATTCAGTTATACTATATTCGTAGTATGGCTCGACTACTATTGAGCTATTGTAATTTCTGGAAGAGGAACTCAGGTAGGAGACGAAAAAAATGTTACCTTGGTCTTGCGATCGAAGAATACATTTGGTCTAGTTTGAGCAGTTCTCTCATCATATCGTCGTTGCTGGGATTAGGAGCTGACATTGTGCCGTGTCCTTGCAATACGAGTACTACCACAACTACTGCTAACCATCTCAAATATGGCCACCTCATGCTGATTTTCATTTTTCTGCTATATGATAATCTGGAACAAAATTGAACATTTCTAGAAGACAGAAAACACAAATTCAAGTCAACATTATGTATGCAGTTGAAACCAGAGCCCAAGAATAAGGTGAAGTTGATGGAACCCATCATGCTTCAATTCATTCTGTATTGAAGATAAAAAGTATTATCATCAGACTATTATACAGTGGCATTGTCAGGAAACATATACATTTACTTTTTAAAAATGAAATGAAAAGAACTGTTACCGAAATTTTGTACCTGCCTATGATGACACTCAATGAAAATCTGTAAACATTCAAGATAGAATCACAAAATATTGATATGTATGTGTGATCTGTGATTTTGTGACTTCTCATTTATGTGGTTCTATATTTGAGGTTTTTGTGACCTATTAGTTTCAGACCTACGTAGACAAATCATTTGGAATCGGTGTGGTCTTATATTTTAGGTTCACGTATCCCTTTCCTCCTGGCTTGTATACTTATCTTATTTGGAAATTTGTGTGATCAAAAATTTTGAATTTTTGTGACCCATTTATTTAGTATTATGTAATCGCATGTAATTTCAAGTCTTTGTGGCCCAGGTCTATGTAGTCATCTGATTTGAAATCTTTATGGCCCGTTCAACTCAGGCTTATGTAGCCATCTCATTTGGAATCTGTGTGGTCCAATATTTTATGACCCTTTATCCCAGGCTCATGTAGCCATAAAATTTGGAACCTGTCTGGTTCAATATTGTGATTTTGTAATCCATCCACCCTAGGCCTGTGGTGTCTGATATTCTCAACCTTCATCTCAGACTTGTGGAGCCATTTGCGATCTATGTGGTCCGATATTTCAGGCCTTTGTAGACCGTTCACCCTAGGCTTGTGTGAGCATTCTATTTGGGATCTGTAGGGTCTGATATTCTAGATCCGATCAGCTCAAGCTTGTATAGCCATCTCATTTGAGATCTGTATGGTCCAATAGGCCATCGTGGCCCATTCACTTTAGGCGTGATAGCAATTTTATTTGAGATCTCTGCCGTCCAATATTTCAGGCCTTTGAGGCTAGTTTACTTCAGGCGTATGTAGCCATACGCCATTCGAAATTCGCGTGGTCCAAGATATTAATTATTCTTGACCCATTCATTCCAGGCTTGTGAAGCCATCTCATTTGGGATCTATATAATCCAAAACTCCAGATGTGAGTAATTTTCTCCACCAGGATATAAATGGCTAGCTCTATAGTGATGAAAATATAGGACCTTGTTATTAATAGAATGAGTCGGAACAGGTTGATTTGGTCAGTTCGTTGTGTACCGAACATAGCGTTCATGCTTGGTGTTCATCTATAAATATCGAGCCTTGTGTTAACAATAGAAATAGCAGCTGAGGAGTATTATGCTTCAATTGTCTCGCCTCTAATAGGATGGAATATAAAACCTGAAGTACCTTATTCGCAAGAGAAAAACATACTTGACCATATACTAAACTGAATAGGAAATAAGTTTGTCGTAATACATGTTTAAACAATAACTTCTACAAAGAAAATATAATACATATCTTTCGTAGAAATTCAAATTGAAAAACAACAGTACATCCGGAATTTGCTTTGATTTCTCACTAATGGTTGAATAAAGCTCCAGCAAAAATTCAGCTAAACGTATTTCATCAGCAGATTGCCCAATTCAACTCCTATTACTCTTGAAATGAAAGTAAATTAAATTCGGTACATTGTCACACATTCGACCAACTTCTGAACTTCCATAGTTGCTCATGGCCAGTTATTTACTAGGAAGTTGAATTTTCTCATGCATCAAAGGCCAGGGTGCAATTGCAGCACTTCAAAGGACCGAGATTGTGTTGTAAAATCTGTGGTTTGAGAAGTTTCGTCCAATTAGCAGGTTGACGTGCGAGACATCCATTTTATTAATTCACTATCCCACACAATCAGTACTGGCACGAAAATTTCTCATCTGGGTTAAATTTAACAATATTTCTCTAAAAGGTTCATTTTCAATGCAATAACAAATTCCGCTTTTCAGCGGAATTGAAAAAAATAAAGGATTATTTTAGAAAAGATCAGATATTGGAAAAATACTTTTTGACGTTTCTCTTCAACATCATTATACAAAAAATATAGAATTAAAAAAAATTATCAACTTCTGAAAGAAAACCCTCCCAAAGATGTATTTATCATGCACAAAAGTTTATTTTTGATACGAACGTTCATCTGAAATAACTACTCTCAAACACATATGAATTATATGAAATCCTGTTTTTCCGAGTCAGACTGAATAAGTATTGTTTTATATGAGTTTCTCTCCATATTCAAGTATCACTTTATTGTGAGATTTTCACTGAATAGGTTATAATATCGCAACATTTGTTTCGCTGCACAATAGCATTCCCAGGCTTGTTCATACATGCCAAATTCTACTCAATGGATACTCTTTATAATATATTGATTTGAATTATACGGCTGTCTACCTAATGACAAATAATTTCACTCAATGCTTTATTTTATTCAAATAACAAAAAACTACATTTAAAATTATTTCACAGGCCATGCTTGGCACTTACTCGGTGGCGTGGTAGCAACCGAAAAGAGACAGGAAAGAGGAAATATTTGAAATTTGATAATTGACATTATGAAAAGACATTTAAAGTTTGATGATTTGACAATAAAACAACAAAACAGGATTACCAAAAGGCACCCCAACATAATGGCTAACATAAACAAAATCAAAAGTATCTGACTCTGGGTACAGTGCTGCCAAACACTCACAAATGAAGTAAATGGTTTTTTGACAGACTCAGCACTGCGCCTTGGGGAACCTGGAGGAATAAGTTCCAATTTTAAGATGTAATTATAAATATTGCTGAGGTTGTTGAGCTCAGTCCTTTTGTCCATGTTATTGGTATTCCTTTTGATGAAGAACATTTCTTTAAACAACCTTTTTTTGTAAGTTGCTTTCAGTACACAAAACTTTAACTTCGGTGTAGATCATTGTGTGTTTAGTGCTGATTACATGATCTGCAAGTGCAAAGGTGGTTTTGTTTGTGTTACAACACGTTTATGTGACCTTAAGCGTCCAGAGAAAATTTTAGATGTTTGTTCAATATATGTCTTGTCACATATTTCACAAGGAATTTCATATACTACATTTGACTTTTCTAAAGTTTACAACGAAGTTTCAATTTCTGGAAAAAGACTATTAGTAGTGGTAACGATGCATTGGGCAAATTTAATATGTTCACTCTTTAATATGTTCACTGTTAAAGACTGAAAATATGATAGTATATTCGGAGGTATCTCTCCACTATTTGAAATATTTTAATTATTATTTTGATTGTTATTATTTATGGAATTATTTAAATTGTTTGAAAAAGTGTTCGTGACTATGGAAGGAGAGCTAAAAAGTAGTTTATTCAAAAGTTTGCAAGGATATGAATTTTCAAGAAGAATACCTTTCAATTCTTCAATACATTCGTCTTTAAAAATGGATATATTAACTTGATCACCCTGTTCTTCATGGTTAGGACTAAGTTTATTTTCATCTTCGTTGGATGGTAAGAATGATACTTCAGTAACCTGTTACTGGCACATGGTTTCCTATACCATTTTGTTCGTAGGACATTATCTGGATCTCTGCATACACGCATATCTAGGAATGGTAAACTGTCGTTACCTTCTTCCTCAGCTGTGATTTGTAAATGCTCGTTGAAACTGTTAAACGTTGTTAACGTTTCCCCAGTTCTCTCACGAGGAACAGATAGGAACGAATCGTCCACGTATCGTTTAATGAAAGGAATATTAAAAGAGATTCTATCTTTTACATTCATAATTAGGTCGTCTAAAACAAAATTTACTAAAATGGGGGAAATGGTTGAACCCATTGAGGTTTCAAAAATTTGTATATAAAAAGTATCCTAAACTAGGACGTTAGAGTCAAAAATGTACTCTAAAATAGATTTAAAATTTGGAAAATCATGCATACAATGTTGAGAGATGACATCCTAGTGGTTTTGTAAGCTATTATTCATTACATTTAAAGGTAAGTTTGTAAAAAGTTAAACTAAATCAAAGCTCACTAATACATAGTCTTCAGGAAGTTTGTAAACATTAATGAATTTGCTAAAGAAAGTAAAATTTTTCACATAAAACTCGTTGTCAGTATTATATGACATAGACAAAATATTGGCTAACCATTTAGCCAGTTTGCTATTAGGTGAAAACGGTGTAGTAAGTATCATAGCCTTCGTTTTGTTGACATTTAGCTTCAATTTATTAGTTTTCAAATATGTAGCAATTTCAATCAATGCTTCATTCATTTTTTGAATAGCTTTATCTATAGATGAAGAGATATATCTCTATATCACAGCTGATATATCTCTTTAATCAGCGACAGCTGATTAACGGAAAAACAGCTTATTTTTTTTAAACAGATCACTAACCGATACTAGGGCAAAATAATGTTCATAATCACATTCATATTACATTTGCTGATATCATTAATGTAAATTAAGAATACCGTTGTCCCTAAAATACTTCCCTGCGGAGCCCCGTGGTCTACGCTTATTATGTATTGTGTAAAAAATTACCAACTCATTCAACTCATTAAATAGTCATGTGATACGTCATAATCGTAGTTCAAATTAGGCCCTTCTGCCAAAATATGCATTCAAGGTACTTCTTTTATGTTATTTTATTCTTTGGGGAGATATTCTTCATGTTTGACCAATATGATGCAAGAACTTATATACCCTTGATCTATCCAACACTGAAGTTTTGTCTTTATGGTTCTCAATGAATTTGCTTAAATTGTCATTTTTTCTATAAGAAACGTCCAGCCTATAGGTATATGATATGTTAATGACATTATGATTTCAGTCTTTGATATGGAACTGAAAGTCATCGTTCTATCTGTTCTAAGCCAATAATGACAATAAAAACTGTAAAACTTCGCTTATAAAAAATCAAAAAGGTTTTAGAAAACTACACGATTCGTCATTACAAGCTCCACTGATACAAT